ACCAACAACGACCGGCAAATATCCAACAATTTGCCTGGTACCCGATGCTGCAATTAGACTTCGGGATCCTAGCTACATTTGGCTGGGAGCAAGATGTCCGAAGATTCATCCACAACATAGGATGGGATTTTCTGCTCAATGAACCACCTACTCGAATTCATCGCACCGCTACGATGGAGTTTCTCGCCTCTGTCCACATGATGGAAATGCCATCTACCATTCCTGGAGTGCCACCAACACAGGCCGTCTCCTACTGGATGGATGGAGCCTATCGGACCACCGCCTTGGATGACTTCAACGTCATCATGGGATTCTCGCCAGCGAGCCGATACGAGAACCCCGGAATATCGGTCCGCATATCCGGAGAAACCTGCAGCTCTTACCACCACCAGTATGTGGAGGGACATTACCGGAGCTATCAATCTCCCATCTCATCTAAAGGGTGCAGCCTTCAATCCCCCTCTTCGCATATGCCACAAGTTGCTTGCCGGGACCATTCACGACAGGAAGGAAAGCCAGGGAAAGGTCACACTAGCCGATCTTTTTATAGTCTACCGCATGCATCGTGGACACCGATGCAACCCGGGATACGCATTCCCGAAGGCCGTGAAGGAATGCGGTACTCGAGGACCAGCTGGAGCGATCATGGTGGCTCCCTTCCTTACCCCTCTTGCTGAATACCGGGGATGTAACGACGGAGAAGATCTCCCAGCCGAGCTTCGACCGGAACCGATCAATGGAGGAATGCCGACGCACATGAACATCCTCGCAGAGAGGGGTCAGGTTTCATCTTGAACCCTATCATCTCGATTTCATGGGATATGCGAGACTTCAACAAGCCACAAGACATCCCTACCACTTCGTAGTCCCAGGCAGCAGTCACGAGACTACGATCTCTCCGGCTTGTACCGACGCTTAGACGAGGAGCATGCATACATGCAAGGAGAGTTCCAGCTCATACGCCGCCAGCTTGGCCAGCTCACTGTCAGCAAGACAGGACGGACCGCCGGATAGAGAGCTCGGTCCAAACTCAGGCGAGATTCCAGCCGCCTACTCCGCCGCTTCCTTCGCCAGCACCATCTCGCCCATTCCGACCTCGTAGGCGGATGACTAGGATTTATTTATATAGCTTTCTAGTGTCCTAAATATGCTTGAAATGTATCCAACAAAAAGCAGTAATGAATAAAAATCGTCATTTCTATTTTACACTTCGCATTCAAAAAGCCCATGTGTACAAAATAAAAGGCACACATGATCTATTAAAAAGCCGTATTTCAAAACAGCTCGCGATAGCAAACTAAACCGCGATGGAAAAAGGCGGAATCCGAACCATTTCAGCAGAATGAGGAGCTCCAAGAAAGCTAATTCCAACCATCAACCTCCTACACCAATAAAAGAAGGTACATCAAAAACGAAAAAGCCAACAGAAAAGCTCAATTATCCCCAAGCGGATCCTTGTCTACTCCAGAGGCAAAACAAAAAGAATACCTCGCGACTCATCCTCGTCACCACATGAGTCATCAAGCACACTCACGCAAGAGTCTCCATTTCATTCCCCAAAGAAGAATAAGGACTACACAAGAGTCCATCGAAAGAAAGCACGAGAATCAAAACATCCCAATCACTAGGGGGCAACAAAAAGAAAGAAAATAAAAGCCTTTCATCCTCCAACAAAGGCCACTACATGAAAAAGCCGAAAGAAAATCCCCAAGAAGAGCACATCAAGAAAAATCTACAAAAGCGTAAAAGGAGAAATTTCCATCCCCAGGAAGCCAATAAAATTCCCCAGGGATCATTACAAAGAGAAGAGAAAATATATATCTTTCCATCTAACGTGCATAAAAGGCGCACATACAAACCCATTCCCCAGACAGAAATAAAAGCATAGACAAAAGCCAGCTTCAAGCAATAAGGAGTCAAAAACTCCATTTTCCCTCTAAGGGGGCAATTCAAAAGAGATCTCAATCGAGCAATCAAATTCTCAAAAGAAAAAATTTCACCTAGGTGAGCTTACAACGGAACTCATCGTTTGCTCAAAATAAGCAAAGAGCTAATATCCCAAAGAAATGGGAAATTAACCTATGCGAGAGGTAATGCAAGCCCAAAAGCATAAAAGTCTTCACCATCGCCGAAGCAATTGCCTAATCAAGAGGCACAATCAAAGTCCCCAATAAATTCCTCAACGAAGAATCCCCGGTAAAACAGGATGACTAAAATAGAAAAGTCAAAAAGAAAGAAAATCAATCATTCCTCACGAATAGGCGCATGATCGGAGACAATAAGTCGCCGAGAACCGGGTGAGGGTACGTACTCACCTAAGCCTTGCAAAACTGGGCTTACAAAAAACTTATACCGGTGGGGGTACATACTCACCTAAGCCTTGCAGTAATCGGGGCTTACCAAAAACTTCATACCGGGTGGGGTACGTACTCACCTAAGCCTTGCGTAACTGGGCTTACCAAAAACTTCATACCGGTGGGGGTACATACTCACCTAAGCCATGCGTAAAGGGGCTTACCAAAAAAAACTTCATACCGGTGGGGGTACGTACTCACCTAAGCCTTGCGTAATCGGGGCTTACAAAAAACTTCATACCGGTGGGGGTACGTACTCACCTAAGCCTTGCAGAACTGGGCTTACCAAAAACTTCATACCGGTGGGGGTACGTACTCACCTAAGCCTTGCAGAACGGGGCTTACCAAAAACTTCACACCGGTGGGGGTACGTACTCACCTAAGCCTTGCAGAACGGGGCTTACCAAAAACTTCATAGCGGGTGGGGGTACGTACTCACCTAAGCCTTGCAAAACGGGGCTTACACAAAAAAAAAACTTCATACCGGGTGGGGGTACGTACTCACCTAAGCCTTGCAAAACGGGGCTTACAAAAAAACTTCATACCGGGTGGGGGTACGTACTCACCTAAGCCTTGCAAAACGGGGCTTACCAAAAACTTCATACCGGGTGGGGGTACGTACTCACCTAAGCCTTGCAGAACGGGGCTTACCAAAAACTTCATACCGGGTGGGGGTACGTACTCACCTAAGCCTTGCAAAACGGGGCTTACAAAAAACTTCATACCGGGTGGGGGTACGTACTCACCTAAGCCTTGCAAAACGGGGCTTACACACAAAAAAAACTTCATACCGGGTGGAGGTACATACTCACCTAAGCCTTGCAAAACGGGGCTTACAAAAAACTTCATACCGGGTGGGGGTACATACTCACCTAAGCCTTGCAGAACGGGGCTTACCAAAAACTTCATACCGGGTGGGGGTACATACTCACCTAAGCCATGCAGAAAGGCGCTTACCAAAAAACTTTATACCTAGTGGGGGTAAGTACCCACAAAAGTCTAGTCAAATACAGACTTAAACCAGATAGGGGTTAGTACCTATCAAGATATTTATCATCCTGAGGATCAGCAAGGAGCGAGATCCGAAGGATAGCCGGCAAAAGGGTTAACTCCTTCCCCTACCAACTAATTATGTCGGCATGTTAAAGCCAACGAATTAGTTAGGCAGGTGAAGGGGGGCAGCTGTAGACCCCTAATTTTGCCCGGCCTCTCAAATAAAAGCTAGGGAAACTTCATACAGTTCACCCGGCTTCATATCAAAGAAAAACCAAGAAGGACCTCCCACAACGAAGACGCGAGTTCACTCATTCACACGGTAAAAGCCAAAAGAGACTTCCTACACAAAGACAAAGCTCGCCCGACATCTTAATGAAGGCCAAGAAGACTTCCTATATGAAGATAAAGCTTCAACGGACACACATCGGCATCAATCTATGTCCGAAAAAGGAAAGGAAAGCTTCCTGGGTCCCGAACACGAAAACTCGGACAAAACAGTGCCGGACCACGGTCCCAAAGTGGGACGCGCCGTCCCAACCGCAATTAAGCAGCTGGGACGCGCGTCCGAATGTGGGACGGCCGTCCCAAACCCGGTTCAAGTGGGACGGCCGTCCCGGCCTTCCTGGGGTCCCGTTCCGTGTAAATTTGCCATTTGGGACGGCCATCCCAGTCCGGACGGCCGTCCCAACCCGCACGGCCGTCCCAAAGTGCGCCAGCTGCGAAAAACTATAAATAGGAGGCTCATTTGCCACTTTTTCACACCACAAACACTCCGAGAGCTCGAAACACTTTAGAGCACTTGTCTACTTCTCTCTCTCTCTCGAATGATCTTTCCGATTGCCTTAAATAGGTAACAATCGGTTAAGGAATTATATTCCGGCATTTGATTCTTCTTTAAATTTTTAGTAGAGTCGATCTTGTATTGGTGAGGAGAGACTGTGTAGAGAGAGGGGTTGCCAAAACGCATCCTCACAGTTCGAGGTTCTCAATATAAAGCTTGCTACGGAGGTTCTTTTCAATTCCCTTCTCTTTTATTGTTTTATTTATTATTTTATTGTTTTATTTAGCTTTATTATGTCATGTAGAATAGGATCATGTAGATAGCTATTTTAATATCTCTTTTATTGCTTTATTTAGCTTTATTCATCATTTTATACACGCAACATAGAATAAAATCATGTAGATAGCCATTTAATATTATGTAATAAAATAGGGTAATCGCGTAATTTCTCGTAGTCTTTATTTAAATGAATTAATCTGTCATAGGGAACCCGAAAGGGGCGTTGTGGGGTGCTAACACCTTCCCTACACGTAACTAACTCCCTTACCCAACTCTGGTTATAATGGCCAAGTGCGGTTTTTCTTAAAATCAACATTTTTTCCTTTTCCAATGTTTATGGTCAAAACATTGGTGGCGACTCCATAAGAACCCCTTTTCGAAAACCTTTTAAAACAAAAACGCGAGTCTAAACCATCTTTTCGCGACCGCTCGCATAAACGTTTCTAAGACGTCCCCCTCCGGACGTCGGAAAGGGACGGCGGCGACAGGCCAACCTACCGAGTTTTGTTGGGCGTCCATGTCACAGAACCTTTCTTCTAGCCAAGAATCCCATTATTGATCGAATCGGGGTGGATCCAATTCATTGGCAAATGAAAAATCGACTGTTTTCTTTTCTCAGAAAAAAACCTAGAAAAGAAGAAGAGTCACTAAGACAAGAGCTAGGTAAGCAAGAAGGAGAGGCTAGAAAAGGCGGGGCAAGGGGCTCTCCATCTCTAGGAAGATTGTGTCTAGGATCTGGTAATCTAAGTTCTGGTCGGCTTGTATTAGCCTGTGCTTTATTACAGGTAGTCATTCCCCCCGTTCCTTTAGTCTTTTCAACAGTACTTGAATCTTAAGTCGCGGTCATGTCTCGCCCCCCAGTATAGTGACCGATTCCATGTCTCCCCCTAATTTCATCAGTTCCAGGCTTTCCTCTCCCTAATGAAGAAAGAAAGAAAGAAAGAAAGAAAGAAAGAGGATGCGCGCCTTAACTTAAAAGAGCTAACGCGCTTGGCTTGACTTGACTTTACCAAGGCTTTCCCCTACCCCCTACCCCCTATCAGAAGGAAGGTAGGGGGTAGGGGCTCGTCAGCCGTTGTTTGGGTCGAGCTCAAACCTCTGCTCATCCATCTTCATTCCAAAGGTGAACATTTCCATTGAGTGACTGTAACTGCTATGGTTTACAGTTTCTAGTTCTTAACCAACCCTTTCTCGCCGAGCTTTAGAAAGCTTTAAGAGAGAAGAGTAAGGGGGACCTTCTTGCTTTTTATCCTGCGGAGCCCCTCAGAAAGTAACCGGCGGCTGGTAGCTCTACTAAGTGAAGAACCGCTCGCTGCCTTTTCTTCGCGAATAACATGTGTAGGTAGCCGCCTAGGAGAAGAGAAGCAAGCTACCTTCCACCTATATCTATAGGCAGCAATGGTAAGAGCTGGTAAACATGGTAACTGTATCGGCGGCCGGGGCCTGCGCTCCGCGTTCTATCTAGGTTCCGCTCTTACATACGCCCCACCTCACATAGAAGAAGGGGAACCCCTTCCATAGACCATAGAAGAACCCGTGTGGGTGAGAGGGGATTGAATCATTCATTCATCAGATACGTCTTCTTCCGTGATCCATTTCATGTCAACTCTTATTAGTTATAAAAAAAAGGCCTACTTTACAAACAAAGGGAAGGTCGTTTCCCGGGAACCTTGCAACCTTGCGGTTCCCGGTAACCGGCCGCATCGGCCTGGTTACCTTCGTCACCGTCGGTTCCCGCAACCAAGCCTTTTTTTTTCTTTCTTTCTTTCTTTCTTTCTTAAGGGCTTGCGGTTCATTACACCAAAGGCTTTGAGTGAACTATTGAAGCTATTGAGAGAGTACCAAATGTTGACGAAGGTTACCGACTTTCGGTGGACGCGGAGCCAACGAGTCTTTAGTTTAAGTGGGCGAACAACGTAATGAGTCTAATGTTACAGAAGCGTTCGCCAACTTTGATAGGTAAACGCATTGCAAGCAAATAGAGTAGACAGCTTACCGTCTCTTTCTTCTATTAGAGTCGCGAGCTTGTTGAGTAAGGCCGTGAAGGGAGAACTTGCTGCTTACTTGCTATATCCCCGCGTTCTTGCACGACTCATTCTTCGAGCCCTGCTTCTCCCTTCCCCCTCTCCCCATTCGTTCTACCGTCCAAAACAAGGCCGTATGGAGTATAGCCAAGTGGTAAGGCATCGGTTTTGGTACCGGCATGCAAAGGTTCGAATCCTTTTACTCCAGATTATGAACACCCGATCGGATCCGTCAAGAACGAGCCGACGACTACGGGGAAGCGGCCGATTGCAGTCCCCGAGCCCAGCCCGGGAGGGAGGAATGCAAGGTTCCCTGGCGCTTCATGTGACGGGCGTTCACAGTCCCCCTCCCTCTAATCTAACCCTCCCCCACTCCCCATACGAATTTGAACTACGATCCCCTGCAGCAAAACGCTGTGGATACACTTTTTAATGCTTTCACTGAAAGTGTCAAAAAACTTACGGTAACAAATCATTTTCCCTGCCAGAAAATTGGACATATTCCAATATAGTCGAGCAGGTCATTCATTGGGGATCCTGCGGATCTACGTTATATGAGATTTTTTCTGATATTACGGAGTATGGCTTTGCCAGTAATTACTTTCATGAGGCATTAAAGATCCTCTATTCTATTGGGTGGGGGGCCGGGGGTTGGTGGATGTCGCCGCCTCCCCGAAAAGGGGGCGGTCGGAGCGACGCGATGGTTTTTTCGACCCTCTTTATTTTCGCGTTTTTTATTGGTGGTTACAACACCTTTAGGTTGTCCGATAACCGGGCTAACCTAGGGGCGAGGTTTTCGAAAGTATCCCTGGGTTGTCCGATAACCGGGCTAACCCAGGGACTTATTTAATTTGGGTTCTATGGAGTCGCCACCGATATTTTTACCATAAACATCAGAAAAGGGGTTTTAAAAAGGCGTTGGTTTTCGAAAACCAACTTTGGTCATTAGAACCAGAGTTGGGTAAGGGAGTTATTTACGTGCAAAGGAAGTGTTAGTTCCTTTACGACGCCCCTTTTGGGTTCCCTATGATAGGCCGGCTACTTTGAATAAATAATTAAACTGGAAAAATGCGCTTTTACCCTTTTATTATGCGGAATTTAAGTTTATGACTACATGGCCCTAGCCTCTATTGAGTAATTTAAATGGCAGTAATAAAAGTAGAGAGGGAGAATATGCACCTCCAAAGCAAGCTTTTATATTTCTTTAAAGAGAGGGTGCGTTTTGGCAACCCTTCACTCTACAACTCTCAGAAACTCCGGAAATGCCACGGAGGGATTCTAAAGAAGATTTAGAACGCTCAGTTTATGCCTAGAGACACTCAGAAGCTCCGGAAATGCCTCGGAGGGATTCTTAGAGAGAGAAAGTCTAGAGAGAAGGGAGAGCTATGCTTGTTTCTGTGTGGAAATGGGAGAAATGACGCCCCTATTTATAGTTTTTCGCGCCTGACAGGTCGAGACCGCCGTCTCCTCTGACAGGGTCGAGACCAACGTCTGGAAAATCCAGACCGCCGTCTCGTTCATGACAGAGGGTCGAGACCGCCGTCTGGATAGTCCAGACCGCCGTCTCGAGTGGGCAGGAATCGAGACCGCTGTCTGGGAAACCCAGACCGCCGTCTCGACTTTTGCAGGTGATGAGACCGCCGTCTGGACAATCGAGATGGCGGTCTCGTCCTGGCGTTGAAACGAGACGGCGGTCTGGTCCTTCCAGACGGCGGTCTCGTCCCTTCAGGGCGAGAAACTTTATTTTCGGGCCAAAAAACCTTCCTATGTTGGTACGGGAGCCTAATAGTCTCTCCTAGTGGCTTGTTAGGCTTCGACCGTCTTCAAATAGGAAGCTTTCTGGCTTTATTCTGAGGCCGGGCAAGATTTGGGGTCTACAGCTGCCCCCCCTTTACTCGATCAGTCGACTGCTGGCCTTTTGTGCCAGGGTGATCGACTGGAGGGTAAAGGAGTTGACCCTCTTGCCCGGTTACCCTTCAGATGCTCCGTCTTTGCGGCGGATGATCTTCTGGGGAAATGTTGTGTTGTGCGCTTCTGGGATGCTCCTTCGACGCGGTAGCTGACCCCTTCGGCTGATGAGTACGAACCCCCATCCGGTTTGACGAGTACGAACCCCCGCCCGGTAAGCCCCCTTTTGTAGGGCCCGATGAGTTTACACCCCCATCTTGGTGTTTGACGAGTACTAACCCCCGCCCGGTAAGCCCCCTTTTGTAAGGCTTGATGAGTTTACACCCCCATCTGGTGTTTGACCTCCAGATGCTCCATCTTGCGGTAGCTGATCCTTTGGTTGACGAGTACGAACCCTCGTCCGGTTTTGGTGCCTCTGGATGCCCCTTTTTGCGGTAGCTGATCCTTTGGCGGTGGTGGCGGCTTACTGATTCTGACCATGCGCCGACTCCTGGAGAGTGATCTCTGTGTTGGTAGATTGTTTTGGGATTTCTTGAATGTTCATCCAGGCTGCGCCGGGGATTTCGTGGGTTTGTTCATCCAACTCTGTTGGTTGCTGGGGATTCTTTGTTGTTTTTGGTCATCCGATCCTTGCTGGTTGGGTCGGGTTTTCTTTGTTTTGTTTGACTTTTGCTTGATAGTCGAAATTTTGTTTGGTTAAGGTAGTTGTTTTGATGCTGCCTTTTTCTCGCGGTTTTATCTCTTTTTTCTCGTGATTTTGGATTCTGGCTTTTTATTGAGCGTGTGCCTTTTTCTTTTTTAAGCTTCTTTTTTATTACTCTGGCTTTTGCAAAAGAGGGCGAAGTCATACCGGGATACCCTTTTTTTTTTTGGTTGTTTTTCATGGATGCAAGTATGAGGCTAAATGTTTTTTATTTGCCTACAGTATTTTTGTTTGTTTTACTTTTGACAAAGTCATTTTTGTGCGACTACTTCTGTGCGGATGTTTTTGATGCAAATTTATTTTAGTTGAGGACATTTAGAAAGTCACCAGTACTTTCCTTCTTTTTGTTCCTTCGTGACTGTCCTTTTTGTACTTTTGTTTTAACCCTGTCTTTTGCCTAGACCGCCCTTTGCGGGTTTTCGATCTAGCGGGTTTTGATCTTTGTCTGGGATATTTCGATGGGCTTCTTTTTTCTTTGTGAAAGCCTTATCTTTTGCCTAGACCGCCCTTTGCGGGTTTTCGATCTAGCAGGCTACCCTGTACTTTTTACTTGGGACGGCCCTGGTTGGTGATGTTCGTCTTTTTGTTTTTATGCTTTCTCTAATTGCTTGTTTTATGCATGCTCATGTTTTGTTAATATAGAGGCATTTACACAGGTAGGTAAGGAGAAGACAATTTTATTGATATAACCATATGGTTTATTTTTTACATGGGGTTTTTCAAAAGAATTTGTAAGCATGGCTGGCCAAGGTTGGCTAAACTGTGTGAGGGTGTCACAATCATGTTGGTGATCTTTATTTCCCCATTTTTCCTGGTCCCTTCAGTTGAGATGCTTGAATCCGGAGTGAAGACTATGCGAAGTCTGCTTGCTATTGTGGAGGTATTACCTTAGTCGCCTTTGCGGTTTTCGGCTAAGGTAATCATTGCTCTATTTTCATCATTATTTTTTTTTTTGTTTTTTTTTTGCCTAGGACGTGTCCTAGCGAGGAATGTAGACCCTATCTTTTGCCCAGGACGCTCTTTGCGAGTTTTCATCCTGACGGGTCATGAGCAATGTCTTTAGGCATAATATTTTTTCACTACGTCGGAGTTGACAGGATACCGGAGCTCTTCTCCATCCATATTGGTGAGGATAAGGGCTCCTCCTGAGAAGGCTCGCTTGACCACAAAGGGTCCTTCATAGTTTGCTGCCCATTTTCCGATTTTGTCTTTCTGGGCTGGAAGCAGTTTATTTATCACCAGATCCCCTTCTTGGAACGTGCGAGGATTGACCTTCTTGTCGTAGGCTTTCTTGATCTTCTTTTGATAAGCTTGCCCTTGACATATGGCGTCTAGCCGTTTTTCTTCGATTAGGTTCAATTGATCATACCGGCTTTGGACCCATTTAGCCTCTGTTAATTTGGCTTCCGTGAAAACTCGCAGAGAGGGTATTTCGACCTCTACTGGTAGTACGGCCTCCATCCCGTATACGAGGGAAAACGGGGTAGCCCCTGTGGAGGTCCGTACCGACGTTCGGTAACCGTGCAAGGCGAAAGGAAGCATTTCATGCCAATCTTTGTAGGTGACCACCATTTTCTGGATAATTTTCTTGATATTTTTATTGGCTGCCTCTACTGCACCGTTCATCTTTGGTCGGTACGGAGAGGAATTGTGGTGCTGGATTTTGAAGTCTTGACATAATTCCTCCATCATCTTATTGTTGAGGTTGGTCCCATTATCAGTAATGAGCTTATGAGGGATGTCGTACCGACATATAATGTTTTTCTTGATAAAGGTAGTCACCACTTTCCGTGTTACATGCACATATGATGCTGCCTCAACCCACTTGGTGAAATAGTTGATTGCTACCAATATGAAGCGATGGCCGTTAGATGCTTTGGGCTCGATGGGTCCGATGACATCCATGCCCCACATAGAAAATGGCCATGGTGTAGCCAGGTTACTAAGAGGTGCGGGCGGCACGTGAATGTTATCGGCGTATACTTGGCATTTATGACATTTCTTGGCGTATTGGTGGCAATCAGCTTCCATCGTGGACCAATAGTACCCTGCCCTGAGGATTTTCTTGGTCATGACATGCCCGGGTGTGTGGGTTCCAAAAGTCCCTTTGTGGATTTCTTTTATCAATGTTTGGGCTTCTTCTGGGTCCACACACCTTAGGAGGGTGGAATCGGGGCTCTTTTTGTAGAGGGTTCCTTCGATCAACGTGAACCCTACGACCCTTTTGCGAATGGTTCGCTTATCATTGTCACTGATTTCCTCGGGGTATTCTCCCTTCGTGATGTACCGCTTGATGTCATGGTACCAGGGGTTTTGATCGCGCTCGCCACTTACTGCCATGCAGAAAGCTTGTTTATCATGCAGTTTGATTTGAATGATTGGCATCTCATGTTCCTGGTCCAGGGCAAACATGGATGATAGAGTGGCGAGGGCGTCGGCAATTTGATTGTCCTCCCTAGGGATGTATTGGAAAGTGACGCTTTCCATTCTCGAGATCAGCTCGCGGATGTACTCTTGATATGTGATCAATTTGGTGTTTCGGGTTTCCCATTCGCCCTTAAGTTGGTAGATGACAAGGGATGAATCACCGAATATTTTGAGTTTGGTGACCCCATGATCTAAAGCTGCTTGAATTCCTAGTGCACATGCTTCATATTTGGCCATGTTATTGGTGCAATCAAAATTAAGCCTGGTCGTCACAGGAATGTGTTTCTTTTCGGGGGATATCAAAATAGCTCCTACCCCGTGTCCAAGCATGTTGGAAGCCCCATCGAAGAACATGGTCCACATCTCTTCTTTGGTCTCATCGTGTTCGATGTGCA